AAAAAAAAAAAAAGAAAGAAAGAGGTCTTGAGCCCCGCGCAGTGGCTCACCGTTGGAATCTCCGGACTGTGGGAGGCTGAGGCGGGAGGATAGCTAGAGCTCAGGAATGAGAGACCCCGTCTGTACTAAAAATAGAAAATTTAGGTGGATGCCTGTAAGCCCCAACTACCTAGGAGGCTGAGGCAGAAGTATCGCTTGAACCAGGAGTTTTCAGGCTGCTGCGAACTAGGCTGACGCCACTGCATTTTAGCCTAGGCAACAGAATGAGACTCTGTCACAAAATGAGAGAATGAGAAAGGTCATGGAAGGATTCAGAGCTACTCCTTTCAACTTGAAAATAAATGACAAAGTAGTATCAAACTATGTTTCTTATTTCTATTTCTTCCCATGAAAATTAAGAAAGAAAAAATAGGGAGCAGGAGACACAGAGGGAACCACAACCACAGTGCAATGTATATTTTCTTCTCAGTCGCTTTAACATTGAGTATATGTAATCCCTTAATTTGCCCTTGGTGTCCCTGGATGTCCAGATGAAGCATTTCTTTCGAAGCTTTATAAGAACTCTCTTGGCTAGGCGAGATTGATCATGCCTGTAATACTAGCACTCTGGGAGGCTGAGGCAGGTAGAGTGCTTGAGCTCACAGGTTCAAGACCAACCTGAGCAAAAGCAAGACCCTGTCTTTACTAAAAATAGAAAAACTAAGGCAAGAGGATCGCTTGAGCCCAAGAGTTGGAGGTTACTGTGAACTATGATGCCCCAGCACTCTACCCAGGACAACAGCTTGAGACTCTGTCTCAAATGAAATAAATAATAACTCTCAATTCTAAATAAAACTGGAATATTAACTCCATGCTTGTCTAGAGTTCATCTTCTCAGCAGCTTCATTTATTAAGAAAAAATGCATTCAGGTTGTCAAAGTAGACTTGGTATGGTGGCCCACACCTGCGTTCCTAGCACTCTGGGAGGTTGAGGAGTTCAGACCACCCTGAGGAAGAGCAAGACCTTATTTCTACTAAAAATAGAACAAATTAGTTGGGCATTGTGGCAGGTGCCTGTAGTCAAAGTTACTCAGGAGGCTAAAGCAGGATGATCTCTTGAACCCAGGAGTTTGAAATTACTGTGAGCTAGGTTGACACCACAGCATTCTAGCCTAGGCAACAGAGTCAGTCTCTATCTCAAAAAAGAAAAGAAAAAGTAGTCAAGCTAACATACGGAAAGTCTGCAGCCCAAAAATAATACACTTGTCTTAGGAGCCTCATTTGGCTGGTTGTACCTATGTTTAACCCTGATGTGTGCATGCTTTTAGAATGTAAACCACTTGAGAATAGAACATTGCATGTGTAAAACAGTTGATATTCAGTAAATACAGCATGTGTTGAGGAAATGAAAGGCTGGGTGTTTAGTTCCCTCGCATAAAGTAGGTAAAAAGCAAATAAGAGGAGTTGCTATTATGAAACAGCTGATAGGAGTAAGGAAAGTGATTGTTAACAGGCTGGCAAGGGAGAAAGCAAAAAATTTTTTAAATTCAGTGTCTTGGGTCAATTTAGCATGTGAGACAAACATCACCTCTAAGGGTGTTGCTGAATTATAGTGCAGTATTAAATATGGCCTATTTAAGAAATTATGTCAAAATGTTTTATCAGTTCCTAGGTACCTAGAAAACATAGCTGATCCAGACTTCCAGATAGCCATTGTATTGTGTAGATTGGTTGTGTACCAAACACTTGTGGGTATTTTGTCTGGAAATCTTTGCATTTAGAGTCACTGTTAGGATAAAAGATTGTTTCTCTTTAGAAGAGAACATCTGATACGTTCTAAGGCAAAACAGAGCATATGTTTATTATTTATGGAGGAATAAGGTTTTTTCCCTCTTAATGTCCTTATTTTAAACTCATGTTGGGTTTCTTAACCAATGTAATAAACCATCCATAAGATATTTTTATGTGCAAAGAAAACTTCAGCCTCTGAATGAAATACTAAATTCATTGCACAGTGATTAACAAAAGCAAAAGTTCTAGTATTATTGTTTCATTTAAAAGAGAACAAATGCTGTACTTTAAGGAGAGTTCTCAGTGTTTTATTGAAACTTTTTTTTCTGTTTAGAGCACTCTTCTTCCCATTCACTTAACCGTCTGCAGCCTGGTGTTCCTTATATACCACCTTTATGCAAATGTCCCAGAAGCATTGTTTACTCTCTAAGTAAATCACTCTGTGACTCAAGATATTTCGAAGGTGTGGTGTTATAGGAAAAGGTAGTGTTAAAGATCAAAATCATCCTGCCTAAATTTTCTTATCACAATTTACTTAATTTCTTGTAACTTTCTAGTGTTTCTTAGTATAGAGATGAAAACCTGAGGCTGTAAGAAGTTAAGTGGCTCATCTGAAATTTCTAGATGGAGTAAGTGGTGGGGCTAAGATTAGTATCCCAGACTTAAGCTTTGCCTCATACCAGAAACCCTTTGGGGGGTTGACCTGCAAAATAGTTTTAGCCTTCTAACTTGTGTTTCCTTCCTGCCAGGTGGTCAGATCTCAGCTAAGTGTGTCCTCAGTCAGTGAGCACAATGCACGTAGAGCAGGACTTCAGCCCGTCAGCAAATGGCAAGCCTACGGACTTGAAGGCTATCCTGGTAAGTGCATGTGACCTCAGCGAAGGCAAAATCACTCAGTCATGTGTCTGATTTCAGAGGAGGAGCTGTGAGCAAGTAAATAGACAAAAGAAAAAACTAAACACACCCTTCCAAACTCATCCTAAATTGTGCCTTACATAAAGTGTTCATTCCCAAAGTATAGAACAAGAATCAGCAGTGCCTGCCTTATAGGGCAGAAGTGGCATGGCAAATAAAAAATAAGGATATTGGACACCTACTTCGGCAGAACTGCTTTAAATGATAAATTATAATTAGTATATAAAAATTGTTGTATAAGGGTTATATGAATAATTCATATTTGTCACTCTAGTCATATTTCAAATGGCATAGCAACTTAAAACTTGTTGCTATCAAGCCTGAACATTTGTTTGGTTTGGGGTTTTTGTTTCTTGAGACACAGTCTCACTCTGTCACCCAGCTAGAGTGCAATGGCATTATCATAGCTCACAGCAACCTCAAACTACTGGGTTCAATTGATCTTCCTGTCTCAGTCTCCTTGGTGGCTGGGACTACAGGTGTGTACCTCCATACCTGGTTAAGGCTAAAGATTTAAAAAAAGATTTATATTGAATGAGATCAAAAGCCTTAATAGAGCCAGAGACAGTGATTCATGCCTATAACCCTAGCACTCCAGGCTTGGCGCCTATAGCTCCACATACACTGGAGCTGGAGGGTTTGAATCCAGCTTGGGCCTGCCAAACAATCACAACTACAACCAAAAAATAGCCAGGCGTTGTATCAGGCACCTGTAGTCCCAGCTACCTGGGAAACTTGGGCAAGAGAATTGCTTGAGCCCAAGAATTACTGTGAGCTGTGATGCCACAGCACTCTACTGAGGGTGACATGGTAAGACTCTGTCTCAAAAAAAAAAGCCCTGGCACAGTGGGAGGCCCAGATGGGAGGATTGCTTGAGGCCAGGAATTTGAGAACAGCCTGAGCAAGAGCAAGACTCCATCTCTACTAAAAATAGAAAAATTAGCCAGTATTATCAGGCATACCTGTAGTTCCAGCTACTTAAGAGGCGGAGGCAAGAGCATCGCTTAAGCCCAGGAGTTTGAAGTTGCAAAGAGCAATGATAACACCATTGCACTCTATCCAAGGTGAGGGAGCAACACTCTGTCTCAAAAAAAACAAAACAACTAAGTCCTAATAGACTAAGTAGGGGGTTATATGAAAAATTCATGTAATATAACCCTTAGATTTTTTCTAGGCTCATGAGGCTATTGTAGATTAATTATTATAAACTATTTAGAAGATGTTGAAATACCTTAT